CATATGTCTGCTGATAAGATCCAAGGTGCAAATTGGTACACCTCATTCCAAAATTTTAAGCTTTCCTCTTTTGAAATTTTTAATCCTCTAGATTTAAGTAGGTTTTTAAGAGAATGAATTTGGCGCTTTCTCTGTCGTGATACCGAGTTCCCCATTGTAAAGGGAAGATTTTTTTTAGATGTTTTTACAGCAATCGGACACTAGAGGGCTGAAGCGCCTTTGCAGAAAAAAAGTTGTAGTTTTAAATCTTTTGTCTGAGAGCCGCTTTTGAGCTATAGGCTGCTCGGCAGGGGTTAGCTAATTTGAATTTTCACTGAACCGGTTTCAGCTGTTGCTTGAACGCTTGGGGGCAGGGTAGAGGGATCTGCCTGACTCTAAAGCTTAGAACTTTAGGGATTTTTCCTAGCAGTGTTCAGATGGAAAAGTTGGATGAAGTGACGGTTTCCAAAGGGACATTCCTGAAATCAAAATTTCAGGAGATCACAGTGGTCCCCAGTCACAAGACCTGCCCGCAAATTTGAGAGGCTGGGGGCCACCCCAATGGGTTTTTATTTGCCGATGCATCACCAGGGTTGATATTAAGGAGATGTCTAGATAGAGGTCTTTGTCCACACCTGTATAGGCAGTCGGGGTCCCCTAAGGGGTCAGAGAGACCTTCAGTTAACACCAGGGGGTAGCCCTGGCCAGAAAAACCTCAGTTGTCTCTCTGGCCCTAGCGGTCCCTCACGAGGACTTCTAGACCGGAAAAGAAAAGGAGGAAATTTAGAAGAGAGGAAGAGATTAGATTACCCTCCTGAGTGGGAGGGATACTCACGGATCTAGCGTTTCTGTGGGCACCAGCTCCTAGCTGGTATGAAGTTCAGAGGCTCTTACATTGTGGCACGAGGTTCAGAGGGTCCCACGAGGTTCAGAGGGTCCCATGAGGTTCAGAAGCTCCCACGTTGTGGCGCCAGATATAGGGAGTGCTCTGGGCCCCAGGCATGGTGTGCGTGTGCCACACCTGGCTAGTCGCGGCGCGGGTCTGGCCACAGGGCGTCTCTGGCCATGGCGGCGGGTGCCCTGCAGGCTTTTCCCACCGGCTCGGGTCCCGTGTCTCTGTCCGTGCATCTCTGGTGCTGAAAGTTTCTCTGCTACTGGAGCGTTGTCCAGCCGAATCCTGTCCCTTTTCCACCCGTGTACTTTCCTCAGGATGCGAGGTCCACTGGCCACTGAACCACGCGGGAAGAGTACGAGGACAGCGAAAGCTAGAATGTCCGCAAGTCGGTAACGAGGGGTGCTGCCCCCCAGGGAGGCTAAATTACAGGCAGGAGACACAGAACTCAGTCTACAGCTCTTTATTCCAAGTCTCAGCGACTCAGTCCCCGCTCTAGCCCCAAGTCTGCTTCTAGCTCCAAGTCTGCTTTTAGCTCCAAGTCTGCTTCTAGCTCCAAGTACTGAGAGAAGACTAGGATATTTATACCATGGGGGTAGTGGTAAAAGCTTTGGCTGTTAGGTACTTTGTGAGACATTGTATTTACATATGGAAGTGGGTTTCTGCCAGACTGCTGTCTGCCTGAAAAATCACAGGAAAGCATGGTATTCCTAAAGCCAGAGGCCATGTTTGTGTTTAGAGCATTTGTGGAGGGCACTTCAAAAGGAGAGTCAGGAAGGATGCCAGGAAGGCACCCTGCTATGAAAGGAGCCCCAGCACATAATCCCGAGCTGCATGAGCTGTCCGGACGTGAAGGGGCTTCTACTTTGCATAACAGAGGTCCCCAACAAGTTCCATCTCCTCCCTACAGCCTGGCTGGGTGCTGGATTGTCTCACTTTCCACCTGGAAGGCGTGTGACCCTCCACCCCTGTAAGTTCCTGGTCTGATGGAGGACATGCATCCTACCCCTACCAGTTGGGGAAAATGATGTCTTCAGGTGGCCTGGAAGGGAGGGTGTGGAGGACACAGGAGGGCAGTGATGGGGAGGCCCAGGAGGCCTGAAGCCGTGCTGTGTGTCTGTGACCAGGACTTACTCTTTCCTAGGGAACAAGGTCCTCCACCGTTCAGTTCTGAGAACTGCCACCACCCACAACCTGGGGGAGAGAGTGACACAGGCCCAGTGGCTACCCCAGAAGCCACACCAGGGCTCCATGTGGAAAGCCTGCTGGAAGTTGGTCCTGCACCGGGCCCTGTTGCTCTGGAGGACGTGAGACTGCCAGCATCAGCAGGCCACGTGAGTGTCTAGGTGACCCAAGGTCAGCTGCACAGCATGGGTACATGAGCAGTATCTTTTAGCACAGGGTCAGCATCCCCCTCCTTCCTGCATCCCCGGCAGGAGGCCTGATACATTGTGTCACCCACTGGTGTCAGGCCTTGGGAGGTGGCCAAGGGACCCTGCACCAGTGACTGAACAGAAAGCTGCTGGGGGCACTTTCTCCATGCTGCTTGTACAAGGATGGTTGGTGCCAGGACTCTGAGCTCAGGCTGATTGATGGCTGTGGGGGAGGGGAAGCTGGGGTCATCAGGGGCCAGCTTCCATCCTGGGATCTCAGGGAACATAAGCCAAGGATTACAGAGTTAAGAATTCCAAAACTTCAGCACTCAAGAGGCAGAGGCAGGATCCCCAACCTGATCTATACAGCAAGCGGGTTCCAGGCTTATACAGAGGGCCTCTGTCTCAAAAAAATACTAAACAAAACCAAACCAGATTCTGTCCTGTTGGACCTGGTGGTATAGGCTTGTAATCTCAGCTAGGGTACAGGGAAAGCTTGTCTCAAAAAGACAAAAAAAACCCCAAAAATCCTAGGGTGGTTGTGTGTGAGGGCTCTGCAGTCCCTGAGTATGAAGTCAATGAGTGGTATGCCCCGACCCTGCTCTGGGAAAGGGCAAGGGATCAGTCCAGCTGGGAAAAGTGAGAACTGCAGGCCACAGACATCAAGAAGTTAGTGGGGGTGGGGGACAACTGGACATTATTTTTTGTTCTATTTTGTTTTGTTTTTGTATTTTTGTTTGAGACAAGATCTCCCTATAGCCACAGCTGGCCTGGAACTTGCTATGTAAACCAGGCTGGCCTCAATCTCACAGAAATCTGCTGCCTCTGCCTCCCAAGTGCTGGGATTAAAGGCATGCTCCACCACTCCCAGCCTCATTTTGTTTTTGAGACAGGGCCTCACTTAATGTACCTGGAAGTTACTATGTAGATCGGGCTGGTCTCAAATTCACAGAGATCCGCCTGCCTCTGCCTCCCAAGTTGGGCATCAGTTTGGCCTGTGTTTTTGGTTGTTTGTTAGAAAAAAAAAAGTTTATTGAGTGTCCTGCAAGGGGGCAGTGGGCTGGGCAGTCACTGGAGTGACACCTGCAGTTTATTTATATCTTTTGTGGTGCTGGCCATCAGACCCGTACTAAGATCCACCACCCAGCTATGGCATTGCTGTTTCTCGAACCCCCCAATGACCCAGTGACCCAGTGGCTTCAGATGGCCACACTCACAACAGCCAGTGTCTCTGGGTAGCCCGTTTGATTAGCCCTGTTCCAGCTAGAGGTGCTGAGAATCCCAGAGACTCACCTGCCCCCTCTGTAGCTTTTTCTTTCAGGGCATGCAGAAGCGTGCTCTGCGCTGCATTCTGAGCTGGTGGCATTTGAGGGCCTAGGGTCTGGACACTCAGTCAGGCAGCAAGAAGATCATGTCAGCCCTGGAGCCACGGAGCAGTCACCCTGAAGAGGAGGCCTGGCTGGGTTGCAGAGCACCCCAAGGCTTGCTGGAGAAAGTAAGAGGCAGGGATGGAGTAGAGAAGTGAAGACCCCAGGATCCATATCTCTCTCTCTCTCTCTCTCTCTCTCTCTCTCTCTCTCTCATCCCTAGGGCCCCCACCTCCCACCTCCCTGGAGACTGTGCTGGTGAGTGTCCTCTAGGCAGCCATGTGGCCAAGCAGGGACAGTGCCTTCTGCTCTGGCATGTGCAGGCCCTGAAGTTCCTGGTGGCAGCGAGGTGGTGGCAGCAGTATACCCTCCAGAGGCGGTAGGGACCCCTCCTCAGGAAGAGCAAGCAGGGCTGTCCACTGTGCAGTGGACTTACTGTCTCCTGACTCTCCTGGAGTCTGCATTTCAGGAGGCTCCCTGCTCATGTTCCAGTCAGTGTGGCCCCCAGAATCAGGGCCCTTCAATGCCTCCAGTCCTCCAGCCCCATCCTGCTGTGAGGGGTGGGGGTGGGGCAAGGCACTCAGATGTCTCTGTTTCTCCCCAGAGGCTCTCACAGGGCAGTGTTTGAGAGGGACAACCTATGTCCTAATCCCAGCTTTGCACCTCTGGATGTATGATCTTGGGGCAAACATTTCTGTGCCTCTGCTTCCCTATCTTTAATGGGGGCAATAACAGTACCGACCCCAGTAGGGCATCCACACGTAGAGGCCCATGCCTCCTGGCACAGTACCTATAGCTGTGTTTACGACTGGTGAGCACTGGACTCAGCAATGGGAGTTGAGGGTCCTTTCTTATTACCATCCTCTGTCATTGTGTCCCTTAAAGGGGCCTTTGACCCCTCTAATCCCAGAAACCCACTCTCCCTTGATGCAAAGAGGGAGAAGAGCCACCCAAGTCACTCCTACCACTGAAGGGAGGTGAGAGGAGGGCGAGACTGGTCCCAGGTGGCAGTGACTACGTGCAGGGTGGACACTCCCCTTCCTTCCCAGTATCCTTCTCAGCTGGAACCACTGGACCACAGCTCAAGGGGCCCAGAGAGAGCTAGCTGCCAGCTGGGCATCAGAGCTGCAGAGCTGTGATGGGCCTGTGGCGGCAGCAGCTGGCAAAGTGGCAGGCAGTGGAGCAGTGGCTCCATGAGCCAGAGACTAGTGCGAATGGCCCTGAGGTGCTGGCTGTCCTGCTGGCAGAGTGAGCCGAGGGCTTGGGGTGGGGAGGTTGGGGAGGGAGCACTGGGTAAGAGAAAGCCAGGGTCCTGTGGTGACACCCAGAGTTCCACAGTCATCTCAGAGTCCAGGGATTGGATCCCAGGACTGGGTGGTAGGGGACGACCCAGGGGTGGGTCTCTGCTCTTCTGTCCCCTGTTAACGTGAGCCTTTAACAAATCCTCATCTGTAAAACAGGGATAATGTGACACCTGCCTCATGGGGTGACTATGGATCAGAACATCAGCACCACCCTCCTCTTCCCTGTCACCTTCATCCTGAGCCCTGATAAGGGGGAGGGAATGGATGGAGTCACAGCACTCTCAGGGCCCAGCAGCTGGTTAGACAGGGGAGGCTCAGGCCAAGGCAGAGAAGTGGAAAGAATAGTTTTGCTGAGGGAGCTGGCTAAGGCTGCAGGCTGGGAGAGGAGCAGCTGGGGAAGGAACAGGGATGAACTGGATCCTGGCTCAGCAGGAAGGAAGAGCTTTCTGTGTGCACACAGTTTGACCCCAGCCAAGTCACAGTCCAGGAGGCTAAGATCCCTTTCTGTACTTCACAATTTTATGTAACTAATTAACTGTGTTCTGGGATGGAACCCAGGGCCTCCCCATGCTGGGCAAGCACTCTACCTCTGGGCCACACCCCAGAACTGATTATAGTCTTGAGGGTTGTTTTTTTTTTGTTTGTTTAAGACTTTTAAAAAATTATGTATGTGTGTGTGTGAAGGCTCATGAGTATGTGTGTACCACATGCATGCTGGAGCCGACGGAGGCCAGAAGATGGCATTGGATCCCCTGGAACTGGAGTTATAGACGGTTTTGAGCTGCCATGTGGGTGCTAGGAACTGGACCCAGGTCATCTACAAGAACAGCCAGTGCTCTTAACAAACGAGCCATCTCTCCAGTCCCCTTTTTCCCCATTTTAAAATTTTATTTGTGTGTGTGTGTGTGTGTGTGTGTGTGTGTGTGTGCCATGGCTTGTATGTGGAGGTCAGAGGACAACTTAGGGGAGCCAGTCCTCCCGTTGCATCATGTGGGGCCTGCGGATTGAATGCAGGTCACTGGGCTTGGCGACTAGAGCCATTACTTGATGAGCCATTTCATTGGCCCGAGAATATTCTTTTTTCAATTTTAAAATTCCATTTTTTATTTATTTTTATGTGTGTATGTGCTTATATGTGTAGACACACATGCACATGTGCCTTGGCACGCATATGGAGGTCAGAGGGACAACTACCATGTGGATCCTGGGGATAGAACTCAGGTTGTCGGGCTTGGCAGCAAGCACCTTTCCCCATTGAGCCATCTTGCTGGCCCACTGGGAGCCATTTTCAAGGCTGCTTTCTACAATCCATCTACTGTCTTTTTTTTAATATTTATTTTTATTTTATATATGTTAGTGTACTGTCTGCATGCATGTGAGTGCACCCATATCATGCAACGTGGAGGAGGTCAGAAGAGGGCTTCAGATTCCCCTGGAACTGGAGTTAAGGACGGTTTGTCACTGCCATGTGGGTGCTGGGAATCGAACCCGGGTCCTCTGCAAGAGCAGTCACTGCTCTTAACTGCTGAGCCATCTCTCCAGCCCCCATCTACTGATGAGCTGTTAGACAGGATTTGGTTGTTCTGGGAATCTGGTGATGTGTCCATGGGGGACAGCTGCTTCTCCAGCCCATGCTTGCCCATCTAGAATAAATGCTGATGCAAAGCAGCTGAATCTTCTAGCTTGCAAAGAGAAACTGGAAATCTAGGTTTTGTTTTTATTTTTTATTTTTTTGGTCTTTTTGAGACAGGGTCGCCCTGTAGCCCCAGCTGGCCTAGAACTCACTATGGTAGACCAGGCTGGCCTCAAACTCACAGTGATCTGCCTGCCTCTGCCTCCCAAGTGCTGGGATTAAAGCTGTGAGCCACCACGCCTGGATTGTGTGGTGTGGAGCTCAAACCCAGGGTTTCATGTGTGCTAGGCAGCCACTCACATTCCCAGCTCTTTGATTTTTTTTTAAAGAAATCTGAATTCTCCCAATGTCCAAACATTCTACAACAAAACAAAACAAAGCACTATTATTTTTTTAATTAATTTTAATTTTACATGTATGGGTGTTTTGCCTGCATGTATGCAAGTGTTGTGCAATGCTCATGGAGGCCAGAAGAGGATGTTGGATCCCCTAGAACTGGAGTTACAGAGAGTTGTGAGCCGCCATGTGGGTGTTGGGAACCAAACCTGGGTCCTCTGCAAGAACAACCAGTGCTCTTAACTGCTGAGCCATCTCTCCAGCTGCCAAACAGAACACTTTCTAAAAAAATATTTGTTTTATGTGTATGAGTGTATTGCCTGTGTGTATGTAAGTGCACCTGTGTCATGCAATGCCCACGGAGGTCAGAAGAGGGCCTCGGATCCCCTGGAACTGGAGCTATGGATGGTTGTTAGTTCCCCATGTGGGTGCTGGGAACCAAACCTGGGTCCTCTGCAAAGGCAGCTAAAGTTCTTAACTGCTGAGCCATCTCTCCAGCCCCTAAACAGAACACTTTAAGCAAAAGAAATTCAAGGCTGGGAACAGCATTCACAGTAGAATATGTGCTTAGCACAAGCAGAGTGCTGGGTGCGGTTCCCAGCACCAAGAAATAGACCAAAACCCCTCAACTCCCTGAACTGGATTGGCCTGGTGACCAGAAGCATTTTGGCCTAGACAGAGTGTGAGGCAGAGGGCTGGCTGAGCAGGGCCCAGGAGAGGCCTGGGGAGCACCCAGTGGCTCTTGGTCTCTCTGGACCCAGGGCAGCAGTTCCTGCATGAACAGTACCAGAGGTGGGGGCAAGTCCACCTCCAGGTCCGGTGGAGGACGGTGTTCCGGTGCTGGCAGCAAGCGCTAGTTCAGCGGAGATGCCTTCGGAGGTAGGTGTATCTAGGGTAGGAGGGGTCTGGTCCTCTCCACCTGGGAAAGGCAGGGATCCCAGGACTGGGGGAGATCCAAGTTGGAGGCCTGGCACTCTGGAGGGGAGGGGGCTGGAAAAGAGAGTCAGCTTGGGGCCAAAGCCACGGCCAGCAACCTCTCATTGTTTGGAGTTGGTGAGAAGACTCAGACATCCACCTCCTGGCCAGGATAGTCCTATGGCTTCAGAAAACAGTGAAGCTGGCAGGGGTGATTTCTTCAGGTATGAAGAGGCCAGTCTTGTGGTCCCCTCACAGTAGCCAAAAGGGGGATTTTTTTTAAAGGCAGGATGTCATGCAGCCCAGGCTGGCCTTCAACTCTCTATGTAGCTAGGGATAACTTAATTTTTTGGTTTTATGTGTATGAGTGTTTCACATTCATGTATATAAGTATAGCAATCCCCAAGGACGTCAGAAGAGGGTGTCCACGGATCCCCTGGAACTGGAGTTATGGACAGTTGTTAGCCGACATGTGGATGCTGGGATTCGAACCCAAGTTTTCTGCAAGAATATTCAATGTTCTTAACCGCTGAACCATCTCTCCAGCCCCCACGGATGATTTTAAACTCTGATTCACCTGCCTTTGTCTCCAGAGTGCTGGGGTTATGGTATGTCACACCATGCCCAGTTTATATGATGCTAGGGACTGAACCCAGGGTTTTGTGGGTCCTCGGTTTTTGTTTTTTATTGGTTTTTATGTGTATGAGCGTAGTGTTTTGCCTACATGTATATAAGTGCACCATGTGCATGTAAAGCCGGAGAAGGCAAGAAGAGGGTACTGGATCCCCTGGAGTTGTGGTTGTTAACTACTGTTAGGGTGCTGGGAACCAAACCTAGGTCCTCTGTAAGAGCAGCCAGTGCTCTTTTTTTTTTTTTAAATATTTTTGTTATGTGTATGAGTATATTGCCTGTTAGATTTTTGGAAAAGGTAAGACAGAGGAGTAGGAGACAAGAAACCAGAGCCAGACCTGCAACAGGCAAGGAATGTATCTTCCTTTATTCAAATAGGATATAGTGAGAGGTAGAGGCTGTCTTCAAGAACCAGACATCTACACTAAACGAAGAAAATGGGGGACTTTATACCAGGGTTGTGAGACACAGCTGCATTTATGGGGAGTTGAATTAGTGCCTCAGTTTGGTATCCTTGAGGGTCTCTTTTCTCAGACAGGTGGGTGAGTTATCTATAGCACTAAAGGAGACAGGTGGGCTCCACAAGCAGTCACTCAGTCCAAGGAGTGACCAGTTGATAAGGCTTGAGTAAGACCAGGCTTGAGCAAGGCTAGGCTGCCAATTCTATCATTGCCAGCATTTATGTAAGTGCACCTGTGTTGTGCAATGCCTGCAGAAGACAGGAGAGGGCATCAGATCCCACGAACTGGAGCTATGGAAGGTTGTTAGCGGCCATGTGGGTGCTGGGATTCAAACCTGGGCCTGACTCATCTCTCCAGACCCTGGCTCTTGTTTTTAAAAGACTAGGTTTCACCATGTAGCCCAGGCTGGCTCCTGCTTCAGCCTCCTGAGTATTGGATTGTACAGGTATCATTTTGAATAGATGTGGCTGCTGACTCAGCTAGCATGGCCCCTCCTCTGCTCATGTTTGCAGTTATTTCCAGGCCTGGTGTCAGCTAGTGAGGGGCACAACATCGAGCCTTCCAGGAAGGCCTGAGGAGAACAGTACTTATGGCCACACTTGCTATCTGTCAGGAGGCCTGCAGACCAGGGGTCAGGGCACAAGAACAGCATGTGGCACAGGCATCCATCCTGTACTGGAGAAGCTCTGTGCAGCAGAGTCAGGCCGATAGCTGTCAGGAGGCCTGCAGACCAGGGGTCAGGGAACAAGAACAGCATGTGGCTCAGGCATCCATCCTGTACTGGAGAAGCTCTGTGCAGCAGAGTCAGGCCGATAGGCAGCTGAGGAGGACCGAGGCTCATCAGGTCTTTGTGGCATGGCAAGTGACCTTGGGCTGACACCAGGAGGCCCAGCATCAGGCAGAAAAGAGAGCTCAAGTCCTGGCCCTAGCCCAGGTAGTCTTGTGCTGGATCCTGTGGGTACAGGAGTCCCACCTGGGCCAGGTCCACCCAGCCCACACCGCTCAGCAGCTGACTGCCCAGTGAGTGCCCATGCTAAGGGCAGCCTCACATTGCTTCCAGCCCAGGGTTCAAGCTTGCTTTTGGCAGTGGCAGAGAACATGGGGTGGCTGGGTGGTACCTGTTGGGTGGCCAGGTAGCTGGTAGCTCCTGGAGCTGGTTCTGGATATGAATCCCAGCTCTGTCACTTTCTCGTATGATCCGTCCTTGGGAAGATGCCTGACTTTAGCTGCTACACTGCCTTGCAGGATTGCCAAAAGTGTGCGCCTGTGTTCAGTAAGGGGCCAGACATACTGGCGGGCAGCACACCAGTGTTCCTGCTAGGGATGGGAGCAAACTGTAGCCGGCAGGACGTTGTGTCACCTTAAACTGGATGCTTGTCCCTGATGTGATACTGCACCCTCCTGGTATTTCCCAGATGAATGAACTTTCCAGAAGAAAGCTGGGAGGGGCCCAGGCCTGTGGCTTTGCCTTCCTCGGGGCACTGGGATGGGCTTCCTGCAGGCCGAACCTTAGAATCCTGGACTTGATGGCCTGGGATGTGGGCACCCTTCTTTTCTAGGGTCCCAGAGGCCACATCTGGCAAGTAGGGTGTCACCCTGTGCCAGCAGGCCGGGCCCCAGAGCCTCCTGAGGAGTCACTGTTGAGACCGAGGCTGGAGCCACCAACCCCAGTCCAGGGAGCTGACTTCAGGCTGGCCAGCAGAGGGTGCGTCCTGCTGCTGCTGGACAGCACAGCCCTTCGGATGCAGGTGAGGTGGGTACAGGTACAAGTGGGAGGGAAAAACTTCCCTCATCAACCACCAGCCTGAGAAACAGCTTGTTTCTGCCCATGATAGTAGTGATTAGACACTTCTCCAGGGGCAAATATCTTTACAGACCCCCCACCCCCGCATCCCAGTTCTTGCATGCCCATTGGCTCTGGTTGGCTGACAACATAGAGGAGGTGGAGCCAGTCAGTAAATCTGAGTGGCAACCCTGGGCAGGTCTGATTGCAAAGGCAGTGTGTGGCTCTTGGTCAGACACAATGATCTTTTAAACAGTGTTTGTGGGAGTGTGCGCCTGTGTTCAGTAAGGGGCCAGACATAGGTGGGCAGCACACTAGTGTTCCTGCTAGGGAAGGGAGAGATGGTTCAGAGGTTGAGTGCTTGCTGCTCTTGGAGAAGACTTGAGTTCAGTTCTCAGCACCCGGGTCAGGAGATTGACGACAGCCTCTAACTCCAGCTTCAGGGGATCCAAACCCTGCGGCCTTGACGGGTACTTGTATATGTTCACAAAACCACTCATGAACATAATTAAAAATAAAAGCTGGCTATGGTGGCGCACACCTTTAATCCTAACACTCAGCAGGCAGAGGCTGGTGGATGTCTGTGAGTTCCAGGCCAGCCTGTCTATATAGCAAGTTCCAGGTCAGCCAGGGCTACTAGTGAGACCCTGTCTCAAAGTAAATAAATAAGTGTAATAAAAATAAATACATGAAAAACAATTTTTTTCTTTTTTGGTGTTTTTGAGACAGGGTCTCCCTGTAGCCCACATGGCCTGGAACTCACTATGTGCACCAGGCTGGCCTTGAACTCAGAGATCTGCCTGCCTCTACCTCCCAAGTGTTGGGACTAAAGGCATATGACACCACACCCGGCTACATGAAATTTTTTAATGAAGCTGGGGAGACTGCTCAGCAGTTAAGAGCACCGGCTGCTTTCAGAGGATGTGGGTTTTGGTTCCCAGCATCCACATGGCTCACAACCATCTGTAACTCCAGTTCCAGAGGATCCACTGCTGTCTTCTGGCTCTGTGGGTAATAGGCACACACATACACAAGCAAAACATACATACACAGTCTTTTTTTTAAAGAAGTGTTTATGGGGCTAGGTGTGGTGGTGCATGTCTTTAATCCCAGCACTTAGGAGGTAGAAGCAGGCAGATCTCTGTGAGTTTGAGGCCAGCCTGGGCTACATAACAAATTCTGGGCCAGCTGGGGCTACACATTAAGACCTTGCTTAAAAATTAAAAAAAAAAAGTGTGGATTAGTTAGATGGCTGAGTGGGTAAAGGCGCTTGCCATGCAAGCCTGGCAACTTGGGTTTGATCCCAAGAATCCATGTAAAAGTGGATGGAGAGAAATGACTCACCAACATTGTCCTCTGACCTCTCTGTGTGCTGCAGCAGGTATAACCCACCCTCAGATAAACGTGCATCTTTTTTTTTTTTTTAAAGTGTTTGTGTGTAGGGGGATAGAACTCAGGACCTTGCACACAAGTGTTCTACACCCCCAGCTCTTTTATTTTTATGTATAAATGTGTATGTTCATGTTTGAGTATGTGCCCATGTGGGGGTGCCTGGGAGACCAGAGAGGGCATCGTGTCATAACTCGGAGTTACAGGCAGTGTATTAGTCAGGGTTCTCTAAAGAAACAGAACTGGTAGAATGGGTAAAGTGAACTAAAAAGTTCAAAGGTTAGATGCTCAAAAGAAACTGTACTATTTTGGGCCAAAGTCTGCTGTTTGGTCTTTGAAACTCAGATCTCGGATACATTAAAACCATATTCCCGTTTACCTGCAACTATTTTATTTCTCATGTGGGGATATCCCTTCCACTTTGAGGACTAACAGCAGAAGTTATATTTGATATCTACCTCTCCTACACTATCTTACAAAGACATTTTATTCCCTCTGTCTTGCTGATGGTTTCTGAACTGTCCCTATGCTTACACCTGGCTCTGCACTTCACCTCAGTTTCTCGGTTTGTCTTCCACAGCAAACTATTGTCTGCTTACAAGTAAGGGTCACGTTTTAGTCATCTTTGCACACCCAGCCCTGCTGTAGTGTCCAGTACACACTCAACACCCCCAGCTCTTAAATTCACTGTTAAATCATAGTGCAGTCTAGGATCCAGAAAAATGCATGGGGAGTGTACTAGTAATTTTATTTTTTATTGGAAAAATTAAAGATGCTCATTACAGAAAATAAAGTAGAAAAAAATTTATTTTTCTCTCTCCAAAGGTAACCTTCAGTCCCCCTTTCCAGACCAGAAGTCTTTAGCTCTGACACGCAAATAGTTAAGAGGCAGGTGGACAGCAAGAGGGAAGAGGCCATCATGAACACCGGAGACAAGAATTGGCACTGCCAGCATCTGGGGATGCAGCTGGGGGACCCAGCCAGAGATCCTGGCGGGCCAAGCAGCAATCCTACTTGGCATCACCAGGAGTCCTGCTACCAGGAAGAACTCAACTCTAGAAAGCCTAAGGAAATCATGAAAGTGCCTTTTGCTTTTTAAATGAAACTGGAACAGATCAGTGTCAGTGGCTTTCAGAATTCACATATATGAGGTTATGGGGTCTCAAGTATTTTACTTTTAGATATTATGTTAACAAGGCTTTGTAGACATGGCTCATATAACCCAGGTTGGCCTCAAACTCATGATCCTGGTGAAATTATATAGGTATACCACCAGTCTTTTCATTGTTTTTTTTAAAAAATAGGTAGGCATGGTAGCATGGCTTTAATCCCAGCACTCCAAAGGTGGAGGCATGAGGATACCTGTTAGATTGAGGCCAGCCTGATCTACACAGAGAGTTCTAGGCTAGCTGAGGCTACAGTGAGACCGTCTCAAAAAGACCAATATATATGTACACACATACACATACACTTTGATGTGTCCTGCTGGCTGGCTCCTCCTGGTGTCTTGGGGACTGTTGGGTGAGAGATTGATGAAGCATCCCATTTGTGCACACAGGTGGGAGCCCACTCTGGCAGGGAAATCAGGAATCCCTCTTGGCCAGCAGGCCCCAGCCCACTAGGTTGACTTCTCCTCTGACTGCTCCCTCAGACTCACAGCTGCTGAACACTGGTCACAGAGACTGCTGCCCAACCTGGTATGGCAGCACAGCTACAGTGAACAGAGGACCAAGTCCTGGGCTCTGAGTAAGGAGCTGGATCCCCTGGGCAGTCCCTAGCCATCAAGCCATCTCTGTGAATCACAGGGTTCCTGCCCACATCCTCTTGAGTATCCCAGCTGTTGAATCAATTTCTTTCTCCCATTCTTGTTAGTGCCCTGAGCTAGTCCACAGCCTGGAGGCCTGAGGGGGAGGGGGCAACTGCCCTCCTGGTCCAAGGCATTAACCTCTCCTGGACCCAACTCTCCTCTCCAGGCGACAGAGAGGCCTCTCTGTTCGGCCATCCAGCTTTGGCTGCCCTGCCTGCATGGGCCCCCAGCCAGTTCCCTACAGGACCAGAAGGGCTCTATAGACAGGCTCTTCAAATGTAGCTGTGATGGGAGTAACTGTGCATGTCTAGGGAGGAGGGATGGTCCTCTCTGGCCAGTGGCTGAGCTTGTGGGACCCTTGAGGGGTGGCCCAGGCCTGGGGCTGTACCTTCATCTTGAAGAGGTCATGATGCTCATGGCCTGCAGGTGTAGGTCACTACAGAGCAGGTGTCTCCAGGATCTGCTCCAAAGGTTCCAGGCTTCCCAGCAGGCCAGACTCCTGGCAGAGACATGGCAATGCTGGGTAGATGCTCAAAGGATGGAACAGCTGTCTCAGACTCTGGTAAGTGGACTTGGTCACTCTCCACCCTACAGATGTCCTGGGGAGTACCTCCTGTTCATTCCATCCCACAGCTAACTCTAGAAACTACATTTCAGTATGGTCTTTGGACTGACTAGTTTGAAACCTTGGGGGTGGGCCAATGGGATCTGCACCTGCTAACTTTCCTCATGTGACACTCCTTGTCGCGCCCCCCTTCACCCTGGAGTGACAGAGAGGTAGAAGAGCCAGGACTTCCCGGAGGGCAGACGGCCTCTTCTGTCAACTCTCCCATAGCTCAGGCAGTGGCACCTGGAACAGACTTGGAGGACGTGGCGGCAAAAGGCCCTGCAGTTGTGGGTGGCTCAGCGGCTACATCAGCAAGAGGACTGCTAGATCCTTTGCCAGGTATCAGCCAGGTGACCCCCTCACTTCACTCAGCCTGTGTTCTAAAACCAGTGTTATCTCCAGGCTGAGCTGGGGAAAGGTGGGGCATGTATATTCCAAACTCCACCCTGAGGTCTCTCCATTGGGTGGGTTGGTCAGGTTGGTTATACAGTACACGGCCTAGACATGGAAGCCCTTGACTGTTGGTGGCCCCAAGCCCAGCGCAGTATCATTGTCAGACAACCTGAGAAACAGGCTATTTGTGGCAGTGGCCGCCCATGCTGGTCCCTGTAGGGTTTGGGCCAAGCTCAGGCTTCTCATTTGCAGGTCACTGGGCATGGCTTCCCAAGTCACAAGTCTGGTCTATTCTGAGCCCATGTATTTGGCCTGGGACAGGGTGGGCTGGCTGCCAGGGCAGGAGGATCCTCTGGCTGGAGCACATATAGCATGGCCTAGGTGCCCAGGTGTCATTCCGGCCCTGGAAGGAGCCTGAGACAAACAGCCTTTCCTGTCCCTCCCTGCGTTCAGGCCTTTGAGAAGTGGTCCCAGCGCCTGGTAGCCAGAACACAGCAGAGAAGCCAGCAGTAGCCTGTGCCCCTAGGAGCAAGTGGCAGCAGCTCAGATGTGATGGGCTTGGGGCAGCGGAACCCAGCAGCAGCTGTGAAATATTCCCATGGGATGAATAGGACTGAGCCCAACTTTCCAAAGGAAGGAAGAGCACCCACACCCCAGGGAGTACAGTGACAGAGGTCCAGTTCCTGGAGCTCTGGGCAACAATAAAAGGTCCCCCTTAGTCTTAGCTGTTTCTGTGCAGTTTCTCAAGGCTGGCCCCCACTGCAGCCATCTGGGCCTGGAGAGGAAGAGGAAATTCCCTTCTCAGCCTCAGCTATTCCATGGACTTGCCCCCCTCCCCCAACCCCACTCCTTCAGCCACAAGATCAGCAGGCTGGGAGCCAGGACACTGAGCAGCCATCTATACCTGCCAGTCACTGCCCCAGGCAGTGAGGCCCCAGGACTGGCTGGGGAGGAGTCCCGGGAGACATCTCCAGGGCTAAGCTGAACAGAGGCTGCTGGCAGGAGCCCTGCCCAAAATGAGGCAGGGAGTGGGCTGCACACGCTGGGCAGAGCTGGGCCTGCTCAGCTCACCTGCTCAGGTGAATCTCGCCTCGCCTTGCCTGTTGGCAGTTAATGAACAGAAAAGGCAGCCAAGACCCCCATGTAGGACAAAGGTCAGAAGGCCTTTAACCCTTAAGGAACACTTCTCCAGAAACAAATACACAGACACACCCTTTTCACTGAGCAGCCCTGGAGAAGAGGGAGAAAGCTAAGCTCTCGGGTCAAAGGTCCTTGCATTATTGGGAGTCAGTCCAGGCCCATCCCAGGGGGCCTGGTGTATAGACAGCTGAGTAGGGAGGAGGGCAGTGGTATCTGCCCCTTCATTTTGTCATGCCTCTTCCTATGGCCTGTGTTCTCTCTGCCTGCCTTACATGGACCCAGGTACAAGTTCACTGGGCTCCCAGGCTGGCTACCAAGGCTGTCTAGATATAATGGCTCAGTTGCAATAACCGTCTTTTCCCATTCTCCAAGAGGGTGGTGGTCCCCTGTGGATGGGGATGCTTGACACAAGAACACGGGCTATGGGCTTTAGCAGAGGTACCAGGCTCCTAAACGCAGCCATCTCAGGTCCAGCCAGTGTGGATGCCTCCTGCCAGTCTAGCTGCCATCCTCATGTGGGGAGAGATAAGGGAACACAGGTTCCAGGTGAGGAGGAGGTCAGGACACAGGGTCACAGTGCCTCTGTCTCTCTCTTGTTGGTGGTTTGCCTGTTGAGCAATTCAAACGTGTCTTCCACCACCTGCCATAGGCAGTTGTCGAGCGGGAACTCATTGTCCACCAGGTTGACCAGGAAGTAGTTGTCGTGGATGTACTGGATGATCATGCGGGACGGGGATTCCTCCTCATACAGCTTGCCCCACTGCTCGATCCACAGGGCAAAGGCCTCATCCTGTATTCGCACATGTGGGCAAAGACACACATGGGCAGGGTTAACATGACAGCCCTCTGGTCTGGGCCCCTGCTGCTGTCCTATAGGGCATGTCCCAGAAAGGAACAAGACCAGAGCCATTCCTGCCCAGCAATAAACACTATGTGCTAATGGGTGACCTTGCAGGCAGGACTGTAGGGCCCAGGGATGTGGCTTAGCCAGGACTCTCACAGTGGCCAGGGCAAGCTCCCTCCCACTCCTTTACCTTCCAGAACATGAAGCTGACAGGATCCACCACAGTGGGCTGGATGATCTCTCGGCCAGCGAAGATGCCCCATGTAACCGCATTGGGCTGCAGCTCGGGGGCATTGGTGATGTTCTCTCCCTGAGAGCAGAAGCAGGGCTGAGGCCTCAGTGCCCTGACACCTTACCCCACTAACTGCTTCCCATCCTACTGTACTGCCCTCCTAGCCTGCACCTATGAACAGCATCACCTTCTACTTGAACCACAGTCCTAGAGGCATTGTGGGCATGTCTCCTCCTCATTCACCTGACTGGACTCCCTATCATACCCTGCATGCTTTATTATTATTTTCAAAAATACTTTATTACTTTTATGTGTATGAGTATATTGCCTGCATGTAGGTAAACGCACCCATGTCATACAATGAGAGGGTGTTGGATCCCCTGGAACTGGAGTTGCAGACAGTTGTTAACTGTCATGTGGGTGCTGGGAATCAAACCCAGGTCCTCTGCAAGAACAGCCAGTGTTCTTAATGGCTTAGTCATTTCTCTAGCCCTACTTTTTTATTATTAAAAAAGAATTTATGTGTATGAATATATTTTCTACATGTTTGTAAGTGCACCTGTGTGGTGCAATGCCTGCAGAGGTCAGAAGAGAGCATAGGATCCCCTGGAACTGGAGTTATGGACAGTTGTTAACCACCATGTTGGGTGCTGGGACTCAAACCTAGGTCTTCTACAAAAGCAGTCAGCACTCTTAACTGCTGAGCCATCCCTCCAGCCCCACTTTATTTTTTAAACAAGGACTCCCATCAGCCTGGCCTTGAACTCAAGATCTTCCTGCCTCTGCTTTCCAAGTGCTAGGATTACAGCTGTGTGTTACACCACCTGCTCTTTCGCTCTTCTTACCTAGGCCCGCTGCTTTCTACCTGGGTCACATGGCCCTCCACTAGCCTCCCTGGCTCCGACCTTCCCTGGTACCTGCCATCTGTACAGCCACCTGCGACAATCTGTGTAAAATGAAATGGAGGCAAGCCACTCTGCTCCTGGAGAAAGGCTCCCTTTGTCTCAGGAAGCCCCAGGCACCATGCAGGACTGCTAGAACTCGGGCCCTGGCACAATACTTTTACCTCCTATTTTCAGTTTTCCCAGGGATAGTGCAGTGCAGAGTCTTTTCCTCTGCCCTTTCCACATAATGCCCTTTGCCTGTTAGCCAACTCCTCTCTGTCCTTAAAAAGACTCAGCCCAAGGTCTGAAGAGATGGCTCTGCCGGTAAGAGTGCTTGCTATGTGGGCATAGGACCTGAGTCTGGATCCTGCACCCAGGTAAAAAGCTGTGTGTGGCCCTGCACCTGCCTGTAACTGCAGCACAACGTGGGGTGGGGAGTGGGGGATTGGTGCAGGGAATGGAGACAGGACTGCTTGGGCTTGCTGGCTGTCAACATAGCTCCAAGTCAGTGAGAGACCCTGTCTCAAGGGAGTAAGGTGGAGCGTGACAGCAGGACACCAGGTATGGATACCACGCACACACACACGCCACACAGGATCACATCCACCCACACACCCCTACCCCCACCCCCATACACATACCCACACAGGATCCCTTCCAGAAACCCCGGACCTCTTGGGTGTGATGTCTCTCTTCTGGATCCTGTATCTTCCTCTAGCCACCAGGTGTGGACACCACACACACACACACACACACACACACACACACACACACACACACACACACACACAGAGGATCCCTTCCAGAAACCCCCTGGGTATGATGTCTCTCCTCTGGATCCTGCACTACCCTATATTGAACTTGACTTTCCTACTGACTTGTTGTTGTGTAAGTTATCTGTCTCCCTCACCAGGCTGGGAGCTCTTTGGGAGAAGAGACTTGCCCCCATTTGGTCTTGCTGGCTTGCACAGTCTGTCTGGCCATGGCTAGGCACCTGGGGACTGTCAGAATAAACGTGGATGCTCTCGAGTGTACTCTGCTGAGTGCCATAGAGCTGAGCCCAGGAGTTGCCTACCTTCACATCCACAATGTGGTAGTTGACTCGGAGCTCATATTTCTTCAGCACTTGCAGAAGGGCCTGCACTGTCTCCCGGGAGGTAAAGAACTCCAGGTAGGCCTGTGGGGGAAGAGTACCCATTGTATCAATCCTAGCTCCCCAGCAGACATGCTGTCTTCTCTCCTTACCCTGTTCCAGCTGTCCTCCACATATGACAGACTGGACTTGCCTGCTCTACCTCTCAGCCAGATGCCTATCCTCCTGGCTGTCCAGGAGGGGCCTCCATCAGTACAAGTGGAGGACACTGAATGCATCTGGATTAGAGGTAGCATGGCCAGGATGAACTGTGGAACTGGTGAATACAAAAGGGAAGGGGTAAGGGAGGATGTGGGAAGAGCTTGGCACAGCATGGCCTTCCCAGCTGTTAGATGACCACAATGATACAGATGGGCTGGCTGGGCCCTTCGGTCTGCAGAGGGCCTCCCTACTGTCACTTGGTAGAATCCTCAGAATACGGCACCCAGAGGAGGAAGCCAGGTTTGGGGAAAGTGGAGTGAGCTGGCTATGTCAAAGAAAACAGCAGAGCTGGTATCTAACCCAGGTCTCTGCATCTAGGGCCCAGGGCTTTGGTTCAGAGTGCAATTTAGCTCCATCTGGCTAGCCCTCACAGCTCCCGAGAGGTAAGTGTTTGCTTTTTCTTCCCCTGGGCTGAGCACCTCACATGCTTTGTGCCAGAACATAAAACACATCTAATTTTACAGAAGAAACTGAGGCTTGGAGAGCCCAGGTGACCTGTCACTACCTCTGTCCAACTGCCATTCAAAATGCAGGCCCAGGAGGGAAAGGCCAAAGTTCTGGTGTGGTGTGTAGGGTAGTGCTGGTGCTGGTCAGGGTAAGCAGCCCTGAGCACCCAGCATACCTTCTGGAAGACGTAGCCCCCACTGGGGCCCCAGCCCACAATGGGGTCAGAGGACGGCTTCCCATTGATGCTGGGCTGTGAGTTGATGGTGAGGATGCCCAGGCGGTTCACTCGCAGCAGCTCCTCCTTCATCAGGCTGGTCTCAGCTGCCAGGGGATCATCGTTCCAGGGCAAACAGGTCACCTGCAGGGCAGAATGAGCTGGGCTGGGGCGATGATGGGCCAGGGCCCAGGTTGCCCCTTGGACAGTCCTCGGCAGAGACCCAGCCTGTTTGTGCCTCCACGGGCCCATCCCAGGTGGGATTTCTTAACCTTTTACCTTGGCTGAGGTGTGCATCCACTAGAGAAGAAGCATTCCAGCCCCATGGGGTCCAAACCCCACTCTGCACCACTCACCTTGTAGCCATGGCGGTTCGGCTCTCCGGAGAGGTAGTGCTCAAAGACTTCGAAGACGCTCTCTTCGCTGGTGAGCTCCTCACCCCACATCTTCAGCAGCTCGTTCCTGGGGGACTTGCTTTTCAGGTAGAAGAGGTAGTAGTCCTTCAGTTCCCCAAAGGCTGGAGAGGAGGAGTTACCCCTGGTAGGGAGGACCAGAGGTCAGAACGCTTTCCTGCAGACCCCACCCCTAACGCCTCCCCAGCACCTATGGCCCTCACCAGCGGCCATTGGGAAACTCATCCCAGTCCTGTGTGCGGTAGATGTAGCTCTTTGGTCTGGAGGCCCAGAAGATGGGGCGCACGTCTTCCTCCCTGCGCTTGGGATGTGCACTGATAGCCCAGGGCAGGGGTCGCCTGGTGAGGAGGGAGAAAGGTCAAGGACTTGACTGGAGTGAGCTGGAGGAAGCTACCATGCTTGGCCTCTGGGATGTGGCTCTGAACCTCCACTACATGTGGGGCACTCTCTGAGCTGGAGGGTGGACCCCTGGGGCCTTGGCTAGCTGTGGCACATAAGGGCCTCCTTTCCAGGTCAGGCCTGACACTGTACCACAGCTGCTCTGAATTCCCTGGGGACTCACTGGGCCTCCACCCTTACTTGGGGTCCTCGGTCCACATGCCCAGACGCTTTAGCACTTCCATGGTGGCCACCTTGCGGTTGAGGGTGTAGAAATGGAGGCCTGGCACCAAGCCACTGTCCAGCAGCTCTCGGCACAGGCTGACGGCCAGCTCGATGCCGTAGTTGCGGATGGCAGCATCGTTGTCTTTGATTGGCTCAATCACATCCTTGATCTTCTTTGGCACCTCCAGCTTGGACAGTTTCACAAGCTGCCGAAGGGAGGTGTAGCTCTGTCCAAGACACAAGGGGTTGTGGGATCACCTCTGGCCCATCTCCAGCCTACCCCATGCCGGCTCCGTTGGCCAACTAGTTTTATACGGAGAAACCCATGATAGCCAGGTGATATCACAGGCCTACGCTTGGCCTCACATTGCTTTTTCACCCTTGGCAGAGCCCAGTGGTTGCCTGCAGTATTTCTGTATTTCCGAGTCAGTCCCAGAGCCTAGCACCTAAGAGCCTAGCACCTAAGAGTCCCAGAGCCTAGCACCTAAGAGCCTAGCACCCATCACCTAAGAGTTCCCAAGCCTCACTGGTCACAGTCACCTGCCAGACTTAAGCTATACAATACAGATTCCCAGGCCCACCTCAGGCTGTTATATCAGAACTTTTAGAGGTGAGACCTAGAGACCCAGCTGTGAAGCTAGCTTATCAAATGTTTCTGGTGAGATCCTAGGTTGAGAAATACTCATTAACCTTTTTGTTTTTGAGACAAGGTCTCATGAAGTGCAGGCTGGCCTCAAACTCCTGATCCTCCTGCCTTTACGTCCCAAATTCTGGAATCACAGGTGTGTGCCATCAAGCTCACCTTAACCAAAAGTTCTAATTAGAGTTGTAATCACAGCAGACCAAAGTACAAGCTCTAAACAGACATCCCTGCTGTCATCAGGGCAACAGAAGTTGCACAGACAACATCTGATGGGAATCTAGTGCCACTTAGGAAGAACTGCAGCATGACTCAGCATCTCTCCCCAGAGCCATGGCCCAGATTGGGACAGTGGAGCAGAGTGGGGTTCTCCTGAGCCCCTCACCTGAAGGGGAAAGATCCCGGGCAGGATGGGGCAGGATATGCCCATCTCGGTGCAGGCCTTAACAAAGCTGAAGAAGGTGTTGGACTCAAAGAAGAGCTGGGTGATGATGAAGTCAGCACCTGCAGACACTTTCTCCTTCAAGTGCTTCAGGTCCTCCTCAAAGCTTCCTGCCTCGGGGTGGCCTTTGGGGTAACCTACCAACAGAGATGAGAGGCTGGTCTCTACATACATGCTCAAGGAGGGAGGATGTTGATGCTTGGCCTGGGCTCTGCATGCACATCTCCCAGCAGCCATCAAGAGAGGTGAACTGTGGATGGCCAGGCTCGATGGCTATGCCACTGACCCTGCACATGAGCCCTGTAGGAGATGGCTTGAGCTGCTCTTTCAGGAATGGGAGTGGGTTACTCCGATTGTTGCACACTGCCCTGCCTCAGTCAGGCAAATCAGGCCTGCACTTTATGCCCACGAACAGAATTCGACATCGATACTGAGCAGTCGCTAGGGAGCCAGGCTTGACTCCGGGCACTGCATCTAAGGTGTTGGTTCATGGTTTTTGGTTTGCTATTTTGTTTTGTGCTGGGGAGTGAACCCAGGACCTTATGCATACTAGGTAAGAACTCAGCCACTGAGCTACATTCTCAGCCCCTCTAAGTGTATGTGTGTGTATTTAATCTTAACACCAAGATAATGAAAAGTTAAGAATCCTATTATGGGGCTGGAGAGATGGCTCAGCGGTTAGGAGCATTGGCTGCTCTTGCAGAGAACCCAGGTTCAAATCCTAGCACCCACATGGCAGCTAACAACCGTCCATAACTCCAGTTCCAGGGGATCTGATGCCTTCTTCAGAATTCATGGACATCGTATGACATGGATGCACTTATACACATGCAGACAATACATGCATACATATATATATAGGTCTTTTTTGAGACAGGGTCTCACTGTAGCCCTGGGTGTCCTGGAACTCACTATGTAGACCAGGCTGGCCTTGAACTCACAGAGAACCACCTGCCTCTGCCTCCCAAATGCTGGGATTAAAGGTGTGCACCA